CACACATACACGCACACATATATATTTATACATGAATATGTATATATACCCAACGATACAGACAGATATATCTACCAACATACACACATACATGCACACACGTATATATATATATGCATATATATATATACCTGTCGATACGTAGATATATCTACCACATACATACACATACACACATACACACAACACATACACCCACCGATACGTACAGACATATCTACCACATACACACATACACATGCATACATATACATACACACACACCCATACACCCACCGCTACAGACAGATATGTCTGCCATATACACACACACACACACACACACATACACATACACACGCATATATACACGTACAGACACATACATACACACATATACCAACCGATACGTACAGACACCAACATATCCATCCATTCATTCATTTATTGCGAAAGAAGAAATATACTAAATGGGTACAGGGAGGAGAAAAATTCGTAATAAATTTCTTTTGCCATAAATTCAAAAATGAGCAAATAGCAGACATTGAAATGTCGACAAAACGATCGTTGGCCTGTGAAAACAGCTGTGGTAATATTAAAAAGAAAGAGGGATAGGATAGGATAGGATGCGATAGGATAGGATAAGATAGGATAGGATAGGATAAGATAGGATAGGATAGGATAGGATAGGATAGGATAGGATGGGATAGGATAAGATAGGATAGGATGGGATAGGATTGAATTAGATTAGGTCGGATTATTTCTGTACCAAACTTGATCCACTAGAAGATAGCATGATGATTAGGATTATTAGTGTTTAGGAGGAAGAAGAATGATAATTATGGATAAAGAAAAATGATAAAATGAGATAGTTATTGTAGTAGTAGTTGAATAGAAATGGGAATTCAAAAGAGAGAGAGAGAGAGAGAGGATGAGAAGAATAGAACAGGGAGGGTGAAATAAATGAAAAAATAAAAGGGAGAAAGAAAAAGGGAAAAAAAGAGCGAGAGAAAAAGAGAAAGATGATAAAAAAAGATAGAAAGATATTTTAATCAAATATTTTTTTTTTAACAAAGATTTTCTTCTCTTCTTTTTCGCTTATTAATATATACAGATTGATAGCAATGGCTTATTTGATCAAAGCGACAATGAATAGATAGGAATGGATCGATAGATTAACAAATAGAATAGGATCGAATCGATTGATGATCGATGGTGACGACAAATGATATACATGTATGTGTGTGTATGTATGTATGTGTATGTGTCTGTATGTGTATGTGTATGTATGTGTGTGTGTGTTGTGTGTACAGTTGCCTATATGTCTGTTTGGACGATGGATGGCATTAATGATTAGCTAACATTTTTTTTTTTCAAATAAGCTAAATTATTTGTTCTAATGGATAATTTAAATAATTTCTCTGAAAAATGTTATACAAAAATGAGAAAAAATAAATGTATTGATAATTAATGCTATAACATATATTATCGATTTCTCTCAGTCTCTTTTGAGAGATATATGTATTCGTTTTTTTCTTTTTTAAAAAAGAGAAAATATAAATTAATCTTTTAACTGCTATAATATCATTTTCATTTATATAACAAAAATTATTTTGGAATAAAATTGAATCATAGAAAGAAATCCAAAAAGAAATCCTATTTTAATTACTATTTGGGTTATTTTGTTATTTAATTATTATCCGGTTGATTTTATCATTTAATCCCTTTTACGATTTTTTTTTTCCTGATTATATCATTCTTATATTTTATACAATAATGTAAATAATTCATTCTAAAATATCAAAATACAGTTTATGTTATGAAGTAACAATTCCGGTTATTACCTGTAACGCAAATTATTTTCAGTAATAATTTCTGAAGTATATTATTCCTCCTATATAACAGGATTAAATTTCAATTTTAATAACAGGAAATGGAAATGATCAAATTGTGAGCTATAAATTATTCATATAATATGATTATATTAAGCCAATATAATTATTATAAATTAATTATCATTCTTTAAATTATATTTTTGCATCATTGAATATTGCATTATATTAAACTGACCAATGGCTATTTTTCTATTTGATTAATCTAACATTATTGTATATCAATTAAACTTTCCAATTTGATAAATTAAACAAAGCAAATATCAAATACAAATACATTTCGTTCATATAAACATTGATTGTAGGAAAAAAAAAAAATGGAAGAAAGCAGTAAACAACGATTATAAAATGATAATGATATTTCATTTGCTGAAAAAAAG